TGGGGCAGGGGGCCCAGATTTTAAAATGCTGACCTACCTGGAAGTCACACCTGGGAAGGAGCTTCCCACCTGAAGAGAAACAGCCTCCCCTTCTCCGCCATCACTCCCCACCCTGCTTTCCCCACTAGCTCCCAGACACTCCCAGCCTCTTGTCAGAGGACTTGGAGGGAAAGAGGGCCATGGGGCTGGTGGTTCACAACCTCTCTTGGAAATTGGAAACACCTGAGAGATTTTTAAAAATCCAGTGTCTGGGTCCCACTGCCAGAGCTTCTGATTTAATTGGTCTGGGGTCAGCCCAGGCAGGGGTTGTTTATCGTGCCTCCAGATTGAGAACCACTGCAGCAGGAAGGCAAGAGTAGACCGTCTCAGTCCAACTGGGGAACTTCATTGACAGATGCTCCCTAAGCGAGGTGCGGGGGTGGGGCTTGGCTCTCACTCCCATGTGGGGTGGACAATGTGTGCAGAAGGTTAGCAGTGGGGGTGGTACTGAGGGTGGACCGCCCCCAGAGAATAGGTGCTGCTCGCTGAATTTTCTGCCACTTCCTGGTCCATCCCCCGGACAAAGCGGTTTCTCATTTGACCAGCCCCAAATTTATCTTCTCTCTTTACTTGGCTGGAAAAGACTTGTTGAGGGAACACAGTCTCTAGCAGAACTTGTTTCAATTCTTACTTAAAGTCTGGATGGGGAGAGAAATAAGAATGTTTCATAATAATAGAAAGAGGAAATTGAAATGGAAAACACAGGATGGTAGAGGAACTCTTGTTTCAGAGCACAGACTCTAGAGCACAGGCTCACTGGTTGTGGTACACAGGCTTAGTTGCTCTGCCACGTGTGGGATCTTCTGGGACCATGTCCCGTGCATTGGCAGGTGGATTCTTAACCACTGCAAGGTGAAGTAGCATGTGCTGATGTAGAAGCTGCAGCAAGTTATCAGGAAGATCTAGCTAAGATAATTCATGAAGGTGGCTACACTAAAGAAGAGATCTTCAGTATAAATGAAACAGCTTTCTATTGGAAGAAGGTGCCATCTAGGACTTTGATAGCTAGAGAAGAAAAGTGAGTGCCTGGCTTCAAAGTTTTATAGGACAGGGTATCTCTCTTGTTAGGGGCTATTGCAGCAGTGACTTTAAGTAGAAGCCAATGCTTATGTACCATTATGAAGATCTTAAGGCATTTAAGAATTATGCTGAATCTACTCTGCCTATGTGGGGCTTCCCTGATGCCTCAGTGGTAAAGAATCTGCCTGCCAATGCAGGAGACACGGGTTTGACTCCTGGGTCGGGAAGATCCCCTAGAGAAGGAAATGGCGGCCCATTTAAGTATTCTTGCCTGGAGAATTCCATGAACAGAGGAGCCTGGCGGGCTGCAGTCCATGGAGTCACAAAGAGTCGGACATGACTGAGCGAATGAACAACATAGCTACCACATATAGTGATCCATCTAATGAATCTGGGCAAAGTAAATGGAAAACCTTCTGGAAGGGATTCTGCTTGCCATTAAGAATGTTTGTGATTCATGGGAAGAGGCCAAAATATCAACATTATCAAAAGTGGCTTTCATTCCCCACGGATGACTTTGTGGGGTTCAAGACTCCAGTGGAAGAAATAACTGCAGATGTAGTGGAAAGAGCAAGAGAATGAATAGAATTCAAAGTGGAGCCTGAAGATGTGACTGAACTGCTGCAACCTCATGATAAAACTTGAACAGATGAGGAGCTGCTTCTGATAAATGAGCAAAGAAAGAGGTTTCTTGAGATGGAATCTACTGATGATGCTGTGAAGACTGTTGAAATGACAACAAAGGATTTACAGTATTACATAAACCTAGTTGATAAAGCAACAGCAGGGTTTGAGAGGACTGACTTTAATTTTGAAAAAAGTTCTACTGTGGGTAAAATGCTATCCAACAGCATTGCCTGCTACAGAGAAATCGTTTGTGAAAGGAAGAGTCAATCCATGAGGCAGATTTCACTGTTGTCTTATTTTAAGAAGTTGCCACAGCCACCCAACCTTCGGCAAACACCACCCTCATAAGTCAGCAGCCATTAACAACAAGGCAAGACTCTCCACCAGCAGAAATGATTGACTTGTTGAAGGTTCAAATGATGGTTAGCATTTTTCAGCAATAAAGTATATTAAAATTAAGGTGTATACATTGTTTTTTTAGACACAGTGCTATTTACAGGATGGTATAAACAGCTTTTTATGCATTGGGAAACCAAAAAATGTGTGTGACTTGCTTTATTGAGATGTTTGCTTTATTGCAATGGTCTAAACTAAACATGCAATGAAACTAAACTTGCAATATCTCCAAGGGATGCCTGTAGAAGAAGAATAGAGAAGAACTTACGTTACTAATTACCTTTACTTTTTGTTGTTGTTTAGTTGCTAAGTCATATCAGACTCTTTGTAATCCCATGGTCTGTAGCATGCCAGGCTCCGCTGTCCTCCACTATCTCCCGGAGTTTGCTCAAATTTATGTCCAGTGAGTCAGTGATGCAATCTAACCATCTCATCTTCTGCTGCCCCTTCTCCTTTTGCCTTCAGTCCTTCCCAGCATCAGGGTCTTTTCCAATGAGTTGGATCCTCGTATCAGGTGGCCAGGTGTTGGAGATTCAGCTTTAGCATCAGTCCTTCCCATGAATATTCAGGGTTGATTTCCTTTAGGATTGACTGTCCTTTAGGATTGCAGTCCAAGGGACATTTACTTTAAAGCTACACTATTTAAAATGGTGTGGTACAGTTACTGAAATGCATCAGTGGGGGAAAGTAGAAAATGCTAAAATAGATCCAAGTGCACATGATAATTAAACATATGATAAAGACAAAAGTAGTACTGAAATCAGTGGAGAATAATGGATTATTACTATTTAATAAATTGTGTTCAGATAGCTGCTTAAACATTATTAAAAATAAATAATACCTTTATTTGCAAAAATGGATTGAAGGAAAACATCTTCACATTAAAAATTAATTTTAAAAAATTACTGGGATAAATTTAGTTGAATATTTATATACAACTGTGGAAGGGAAACCATGAATGAAAAGTTTCACCACTTTGACTGCTTATGTGGTTTAAAATTTCTGCATGGATGCCAAAATAAAACAGAAACTCCCATCCCTGCCCCACCGCCAGTACACACTCCAAAAACAAAATGAAAGGAAAAATTACATATAATAAGCTAGAAATAGTGTATATATCAAACATGACAGATACGAGGTTAATATTTATAGTATAAAAGTCTATAATATATTAGGGGCACCTAATACTTTTAAGACAAAGAGAATAGAAAAATATACTGGTAGTAAATTTTAAAAGTCTTGGAAAAATTTATGTCTGTGAAGAGCAAATTTTCTCCTAGAAGTTTACCCTCAGGAATTAAATGTACCTATTTGTAAATACACATATATTATGATATTTTTCAAAGAGTTATCAATGAATGCCAAGAGGAAACAAATAGGAAAATGAACAGGAAGGAATATAGAAGGGAAGAGAGAGAGAAAGAGGAAGGAAGGAAGGAAGGAAGGAAGAAAAGGAAGGCCTTTAAGTGTCCTATAATAGGATATCAGTTAAAGAAATTATGTTAGGGACTTTCCTGTGGTCCAGTGGTTAAGACTATGAGCTCCCAATTCAGGGAGCAGGGGTTTGATCCTTGGTCAGGGAATTAATATCCCACATGCCACATCACGCAGCCAAAACAAAACAACAATAAAGAAATTATGTTATCCTGATATAGTTGACAACTGTTCAGTAATTAAAAGTAACCTGTAAAATAGTCACAGTAATAAAATAGGAATATTTTTTATGAAAATAATTATATGTTAAATACATACATAAATATATTCATAAAGTTATCTGGAAGCTTCTATGCCATCACGTTAATTTAACACTGGTGACCTCTTCATTGGGGCTTCCCAGGTGGCACTAGTGGTAAAGAACCTGCCTGTCAATGCAGGAGTTGTAAGCTATGTGGGTTCGATCCCTGGGTCCAGAAGATTCCCTGGAGGAGGGTGTGGCAATCCACCCCAGTATTCTTGCCTGGAGAATCCCATGGACAGAGGAGCCTGGAGGGCTACAGTCCATGGGTCACACAGAGTCAGACAGGACTGAAATGACTTAGCAGACACACATGCACCTCTTCATTAGCAGTCAGTTTTGCATGTATTTACTCTCTCTTTTTGTCTTTATCTTTTTACCATGTTTAGTTTTGGTTTTGAAATGAAAAAATAATTACGTTAAAAATGTTGTCCTGAGAACTGCTGGCTTGGTACAGCAATCCCAAGGCTGCAGGCTGGTCTGTAGAGATTCTGCTCTTGTCTCTCTAGTCTTAAACCCCGCCATGTTCCACCCCCTGGTTCCCAGCTCTAGGAATATGGCCCTGACCATCCAGCCCTTTTCTGCTTCCTTCTTCTCTGAGTTATAGGTGATGTACTACCTCGTCTTTGTTGTTGTTTTGGCCTTGGTTTCTTATCAGTTTTTTTTTTGGTCACACTGTGCGGCATGCGGGGATCTTAGTTCCCTGATCAGGGATTGAACCCGTGTCCCCTGCATTGGAAGCACAGTGTCTGAACCACTGGACCACCAGGGAAGTCCCTCATCTTTGTTCTTCAGATGTTTCTCATGTGTTGTGCACTCTCCAGAAACTATGAGTTCCCCGAGGGCAGGGGTTAGCCCTTGTAAAATTCTGCACCTCCCTTGGGCTGCGGGCAGAGCTGAACAGCTCCTTCAAGAACAGGGGCTGGGCCTGAATTTTCTGGCTAGGAGAACTGATGAGAAAAGCCATGGGCTCAGGAGGTCAGCTAGGGAAGGAGGGAGAGCTGAGGGGAGCAGAGGCCACAAGTACAGCGCCCACAATGGGGGTTAAGCCAGCCTTGTCCTGGCTCAACAGGAAGGCAGGCAGGGGCCTGCTGTTCCTGCTGCAACTCCCCACCTTTGCAACGCCCCACGGACGCTCTGTCATGTTAACCATGTGCTTTTTGTCTCCACACGATGCGGACAGGTTCTAACGTTCCCATGGACCAGCCCTGCTGTCGTGGTCTCTATGACTTTGAGCCTGAAAACCAAGGAGAACTAGGATTTAAAGAAGGGGACATCATTACATTAACCAATCAAATAGATGAAAACTGGTATGAAGGAATTCTGCATGGGGAATCTGGCTTCTTCCCCATTAACTATGTGGAAGTGATTGTGCCTTTACCTCAGTAAATGTGTTAACTCAGACTCTCTCGGACATAAGTTTCATAACCGAAATGAATTCACACCAGTGTTCTCAGCGTGGTTGTTCTGTGGCATTCTTGCTCTTTGACCAACTTAATGACTTTTGTATGTGTGGTTCTCTTTATAATGTATTTTGTATCAGTTTAATTTGTATAAATGATTTTCTTGTCTTGGCTCCATGGAAATACAGTTTTCTTCTTTTGCTGATTGTCCTAAAAGTCACTGGTTAAATAAATGTATGTGCTTCTTGTTGCTAAAAATAAACAGCACCCATAAGCTCTGTCAGGGCCTGGGCCGTCTTCCTCAAGCTGTGATGGAAGACAACACTTGAAGCTAAGAACTGCTAAATATTTTGTTTCCTGACATGACTGATGGCCTCCGGTCTTTCCCCTTCATGTGTTTTAGCTGACCTGTGAACCACCCAATAAACATGACACACTGTTGGCAAATGGCCTCGGTCATTCTTAACGTTGAATTGACTCCGAAGTTCAGTCGTGCAGCTGCAGATTCCTCCTGTGACCACCCTGACCTGGGGTGCAGGCTGGTGAATTGTTTGGCCTGTGGGATGGTAACAGGCTGGATACCAGTGGAGACTTGAAAAATACTCAAGCCTTTCCACCTGTACTCTGCACCTGTGCATCTCCATCAGGAGAACATGCCCAAGCTAGCTGACTGCAGCAGAGAAGGCAATGGCACCCCACTCCAGTACTCTTGCCTGGAGAGTCCCATGGACGGAGGAGCCTGGTAGGCTACAGTCCATAGGGTCGCGAAGAGTCCGACATGACTGAGCGACTTCACTTTCACTTTTCACTTTCATGCATTGGAGAAGGAAATGGCAACCCACTCCAGTGTTCTTGCCTGGAGAATCCCAGGGATGGGGGAGCCTGGTGGGCTGCTGTCTATGGGGTCACACAGAGTTGGACACGACTGAAGTGACTTAGCAGCAGCAGCAGCTGACTGCAGGGAGATGCGTGGGCCAGAACTGAGTGACTCTAGCCAACCTCCAGACCTGTGCACAAAGGTAAGGAAGCAGACACTAACCCACCACAACTCTAAATATAAATAGCTACTAGATAATCTTTTGTTGTTGTTTGCTTTCTTAACATTTTAAAAATCTGGACCATTTTTAAAGTCCTTATTGAATTTGTTACTATTGCTTCCGTTTTGATTCTTTGGCTACAAGGCATGCGGGTTTTAGCTCCCTGACCAGGAATTGAACCTGCACTCCCCTATACTGCGTAAAAGTGGTAGCTGGCCCTACTGTACTTTTCAAGGTACTGTACTGGAAGATTAAAAATGTTTATCTTTTGTGTTTGTTTTTTATGTAATATTAATGTGAAAAGTATTATAAACCTATGATACTGCAGTACTATATAGCCTATTGTGTTAGTTGGGTGCCTAGGCTAACTTTGTTGGATTGATGAGCAAACTGGACTTATGCACTCAGTCTTGGAATGGAACTCATTCGTATGTAGGGGACTTAGTGTAGAAAGTCTCTTATTTAGTATACAGTACTGTAATTCTAAGCCCCTTTGTGCCTCCCATGGACCAATCTCTGATGATGAGTGATGATGTGGAGCATCTTTTCACACGCTCACTGGGCATATGTGTAGATTTTGCGAGTGCCTCTTCAAATCTTTTGATCATTTTCAGTCATTTATTATGGACCTGTGAGAATTCTTTCTACATTGTGTGTCTACATTTATATTAGTATGTTGTTATTAGAGTACCTTATTGTCCTTTGGTCTCAGTCATAGAACCTTGGATAAGCTATGTTGGATAACTTTGTTGGGCATCATTTCAGGTGGGACACAGAATGTAGAGTAAACTTTAGTATTGGTGGCTGGAGTGGGTTGATTAATGGCTTCCAAAAAGAAATGTGAGTCATCATCTCCAGTACCTGAAAATGTGAGTTTGGAAATAAGGTCTTTGCAGATGGAGTCAAGTTAAGGGTCTTAAGGTGAGATCATCCTGGATTTAGGATGGGCCCTGAATCCAATGGGGCTTCCCCAGTGGCTCAGCAATTAAAGAATCCACCTGCAATGCAGGAGACACAGGAGATACGGGCTCAATCCCTGGGTTGGGAAGATCTCCTGGAAGAGGAAATGGCAACCCATTCTAGTATTCTTGCCTAGAAAATCCCATGGACAGAGGAGCCTGGTGGGCTGCAGTCCTTGGGGTCGCAAGAGTCAGACATGGCTGAGTGACTAAACACATGCACTGAACCCAGTGACTGGTATCCGAAGAGAAAGGAGAGGGGGATTTGTCACAGAACCAGACATAGGGGAGCAGGCCACAGGGAGAGCATGTGAAGACAGAGAAGGATTGGAGTGGTGCTCCCAGAAGCCAAGAAGAGGCGAGAGAGGATTCTTCTCAGAACCTTCAGGTGCTGCATGGACTTGCTGACACATTGACTTTGGACATCTGGCCTCCAGAAGTGAGATGATTAGTTTCTGTTGTTTTGAGTCACCTAGCCATAGTCATTTGTTAGGACAGCCCTAAGAAACTGATGCAGTATTGTGTTAGTCACTCTTTATGTCCAACTCTTTATGACCCCATGGACTACAGCCCGCCATGCTCCTCTGTTCATGGGATTCTCCAGGCAAGAATACTGGAGTGGGTTGCCATGCTCTCCGGCATTGGCAGGTGGGTTCTTTACCACTAGTGCCACCTGGGAAGCCTGTTCAATCCTTATGCACATATTAATAACTGTCCATGTGATGCCACAGGCATGGTAATAACTGAGCACCCATAACGGAAGGACATGAGGCTGTGTTGCTCTCAGCTGTCACCGCCTCTGCCTCTTGACTCTCCCAGTGCATCTAGATGCAACTCAGAAGATGATCGCTCTTCAAAGGCTCCTGTGACTCTTGAGATTCCACGGATGGAAGGGTTACTGCTCCTCAGAACCTTCACCAGAAGGTTTGGTCACCTTAAACTGATCATTGTGAAAACCATGGTCTGTGGTTTGCATACACTCCAGGAGGCAGCCCAGGGGCATACCACACAGGGAGATGCCCCTCCAGAGGGACCATCCCTGAGAGGTCGCAGGCCAGACGTAGTAAAAGAATCAGGTGATGTTGGGACAAACCCTGGCAGTCCTGTGGTTGTGAATCCATGCTTCCATCATAGGGGGCATGGGTTTGATCCCTGGTTAGGGAACTAAGATCCTGCATGCTGTGCGGCACAGTCAAAAATAAATAAATAAATAAAAATAAAAAAGAAAAGAACAGGTGATGTTGACTCTCCCACAAGATGACCATAGTTGCCTTAGCTTCCTGGCAGCGTCATCAGATGACATTCACAGCGTACAGCCCTCTTCCTCTGCCACAGGACCACTGTCACCAGAGCAATGGCTACTGGTGCATCGCATCAACCCTGTGAGTCGCAGTTATGGGGGCAATTCCCTTCCTCAGCTTCCAGCATTCATAGAGAATTTGATATGGTATCCATTTAGTGGTTTCAGTGGGGAATGGGTAGTTTGAATACAACATATGAGTTCAAATCATCTTTGATATGAAGTCTCTACCTGATCTGACAGTTCATGTCAATATCAGGGTTTTTAAAAAAAAATTTTATTTTTAATTGAAGGATAATTGCTTTACATTATCACTTTGTTTTCTGCTGTACAGCAACATGAATTAGCCATAGGTATACCTAGGGACTTCCTTTTTTAAAGAAAAACTTCTTTTCCATTTTTCTTATTTATGCTTTGTAGAACACTAGTCATTTTGTTCTCAATCGTCCTGACACCATACATGAATTTGGGGATACTTGTTTCACAGAGTTTTTTGGTTTCTTTCTTGGTTTTTAAAAAACAACAATAAAAATACACTTCTTTGGCACGCCACGTTTAATGAAACAGCATTTAGCAATTTCATGGGAAAGGCCGAATAAGACCCACTCATGCTTTGATGGTAAACCAGAGCGCCCCAGGCTAGGATTGAATGTCAAACTTTGCCTTGAAGGATTCAGGGGTGGGTGTGTCTTTCAGATTGAAGTTCACAATGAAAGAGCAAAAGAACAGAGCTGAGGAAACATCCTTGTGTCCAAAGCCACTCAACCCTATGAGCAACTGGTGAAGACAGACAGAAATCAAAAGTGCCTCACAATGATGGTGGGTTTTTTTTTTTTTTTTTTTGAGAAAAAGAAATATGTGATACTTTGGGCTCAGACAGTAAAGTGTCTGCCTACAATATGGGAGACCTGGGTTTGATCCCTGGGTCAGGAAGATCCTCTGGAAAAGGAAATGGCAACCCACTCCAGTACTCTTGCCTGGAAAATCCCGTGGACAGAGGAGCCTGGTAGTCTACAATCCATGGGGTTGCAAAGAGTCAGACACGACTGAGCTACTAAACTTTCAAGCTTTCATACATATATTGCATGCACACTGGAGGACATACAAAAATTCCTTTTCTGATGAATGGATGTATAGATAGATAGTGGATGAGCTGGCTGTTTTCATCCGCACTATCAACTTCCACGGCTTCAAGTATCAACCATATGCTGATGAGTCATGAAGCTAAATCTCTAGCCCAAGTTGTCATCCTGATTCTAGACCCAGAGGGATTTCCAGCTCAGAATGTTCCAAGTTAAGTCATCATCTCTCGCTCTTTCTCTTTCCACCCGATACACTCCTCTTCCTCTTACAATCCCAGTCTCCACAAATGACGCTGCCATCACCCATGGCCCATGGCAGGAATCAGGGTATCAACCTTGACTGTCTCTCCTCTCTCCTCTTTTAAGTAATTCACCAAGTCTTAAAAATTCTTTAACAACTGTCTCAAATCCTTCTATTTTCTTCTGTTTTCACTACCACTTGTACCAGCTTAGGCCATCATGAGCTCTTGCTTGGACTGTTAAAACTACAGCCAGACAAAACATTCTTTGACATAAATCATACCAATATCAGTCTCCCAAGGCAACAGAAATAAAAACAAAAGTAAACAAATGGGACCTAACCAAACTTACAGGCTTTTGCACAGCAAAGAAAACCATAAACAAAAAGAGAAGACAATATACAGACTAGGAGAAAACATTTACAAATGATGGGACCAACAAGGACTTAATTTCCAAAATATACAAACAGCTCACACAACTCAACAACAAAAAAACAAACAATAGATGGAAAAATGGGCAGAAGATCTAAAGAGACATTTCTCTACAGAAGACACAGATGGCCAACAGGCACATGAAAAGATACTCAACATTGCTAATTATCAGAGAAATGCAAACCAAAACTACAACGAGGTACGACCACACCAGGCAGAATGAAAGCTTGAAAGTGTTAGTTGCTCAGTTGTGTCCGACTCTTTGAGATCCCATGGACTGTAGCCCACCAGGCTCCTCTGTCCATGGGATTTCCCAGGCAGGAATACTGGAGTGGATAGCCATTTCCTTCTTCAGGGGATCTTCCTGATCAGGGATCAAACCCTGTTCTCCTGCACTGTAGGCAGATTCTTTTCCATCTGAGCCACTTTGACAAATAACAAATGCTGGACAGGCTGTGGGAAAAAAAAGAAACCCTCCTACATTGTTGGTGGGAATGTAAGCTGGTGCAACCACTATAGAAAACAGTATGGAGATTCCTAAAAAAAATAGAAAGTTTAGTTCATAGCTGAAATATCACTTCTCCTAAGACATCTTTAAAAGCCCCATGACTGAATCAGTTGCCATCCTATGCAAAACTTTTCTAGCTCCTTGTGCTTATATCTCTGAAATCATTTATCACACTGTATCTCATTTGCTCCTCCAGGCAGGGCTGTATCTTTCCATGCCCCTGTATTCCCAGGACCTAGACATACCTGGCAAAAATTTAATATATATTGCAAAAAATATAAATATTGCATTTTTCTGTATTGAACTGAATTGTTCTTTAAGCCTAAAACCAGATATGAATGGTGGCATCTGAAGGAATTTAGTTCTTCATACTCATCCATAGAAAATTTTTGCCCAAGTCTTGGTAAAGAAGGGATAAAAATGCTTAATTGGCTATCTAAACTCTCCTGAAGTTAAGTGTGTTTTGCAAAATGTAACACATAGCAATGTTTTTATTGAACTTATATTTGAAAAAAACTTTTCAAGTGTTTCTTTGTGGTGTTTCCAACCCAAATATTGCCAAGCGGACAGTAGTAAGGAACACGTAAGGAAGCAGACTAAACAAGCGGGTCTCGTTCTGCAGTGTGGGGTGAGTGACATGCAGTGCAGCGCGGGAGAAAATGCTTTGGGGCACCACTCTCCTTGACAACTTGTAAGAAAACTGGTATCACATTTTTAAACAGTGAAGTGTACAGAGCATGTTGCACTCCATTCTTTCTGCTCAAATGGATCAATTCTGGAATAAAAGCTTGGTCTGGAATTGTCAGAGATGATGTGCTAGGTGTGAACTTTTTTATTGAAAGATAATTGCTTTATAGTGTTGTCACGGTCTCTGCCATACATCAATGTGAATCAGTTATATATAAATATATATATATATATATATATATACACATATCTTGCCTGGAAAATCTCATGGACAGAGGAGCCTGGTGGGCTGCAGTCCATGGGGTCACAAAGAGTCAGGCATGACTGAGCGACTAACACTTTCTTACTTACATATATATATATATGTGTGTGTGTGTGTATAAATATATGCATGCTAAGTTGCTTCAGTCGTGGAGTCGAGGAGATATATATATATCTCCTCCCTCTTGAGCCTCCCACCCTCTAAGGTGGAGCGTTACAGAGCGCCAGGCTGGGCTCCCTGTGCTATATAGCAGCTTCCTGCTGCCCCACCCACTAGTTATCTATTTTACACATGTTATGTAAATCGGTACAGCCACTATGTAGAACAGTTCGAAGATTCCTTAACAAACTAGGAATAAAAGTACCATCAGTTCAGTTCAGTTGCTCAGTCGTGTCCGACTCTTTGTGACCCCATGAACTGTAGCACGCCAGGCCTCCCTGTCCATCACCAACTCCCAGAGTCCACCCAAACCCATGTCCATTGAGTCGATGATGCCATCCAACCATCTCATCCTCTGTCGTCCCCTTCTCCTCCTGCCCTCAATCTTTCCCAACATGAGGGTCTTTTCAAATAAGTCGGCTCTTGGCATCAGCTGGCCAAAGTATTGGAGTTTCAGCGTCAGCATCCGTCCTTCCAATGCATATTCAGGACTGATTTCCTTTAGGATGGACTGGTTGGATCTCCAAGGGACTCTCAAGAGTCTTCTCCAACACCACAGTTCAAAAGCATCAATTCTTCAGTGCTCAGCTTTCTTTATAGTCCAACTCTCACATCCATACATGACCACTGGAAAAACCATAGCCTTGACAAGACGGACCTTTGTTATAATCCCACTACTGGACATATACCCTGAGAGAACCATAATCGAAAAAGATGCATTTACCCCAATGTTCACTGCAGGACTGTTCATGACAGGTGTGAACTTTTCAGGAAGCTAAAGGTGACTTGTTAAAGGAATAGATGGTGCCTGCCTTTGTTTTCTTTTTCTTACAATTTAGCCCTTTGATGAGTGATTATTTTTCTGAAATGTAGCCTGTACTTCCATACATCCATACTACAAGTGCATTTGTAGATAACCTGGGTTCACGAGCATGAACAAAGCCCTTGCAGTGACCCTGTGATCCTCTCAGGCCCTACCAGTGTGAACAAAACTGTACCAGACTTATGCTGTCTTTTACTTCTTTTGTGCCTTTTACAGTTTTTCTGTAGCACCTTTAGGCTGCCAGTATCCCTTTTCTGAGTAGGGATTCTGTCCCTTTCTAACTCAGAGCCTCTGATTTACTCTTGAAAACTAGATGAACAAACCTGTTAGAATTATGTGCAAAGAAAGAAGCCATAGTCTTGAATGAGGCCTAAGGATTTGCTTGTATGCAATAAGCTTATGGGCTTTCCCCTGGCTCAGTGGTAAAGAATCCACCTGCAGTGCAGGAGAGGAGAGTTCGATCCCTGAGTCAGGAAGATCCGCTGGAGAAGGAAATGGCAACCCAGCCCAGTATTCCTGCTGGGGAAACCCCATGGACAGGGGAGCCTGGTGGGTTATAGTGCATGGGGTCCCGAAGATGTGGACATGACTGAGCACAAGACACACACATACATGTACAAGCAGAGTATGAGACGCACGTAAAATGGTCAGGTCAGCCCCTTCCCAGCCATAGAGGCCACATGAAGTTAGCCTTAGGTCTGGGGCCTGGAGACATTGCTGGCCCTGAGAAGGGTCACCAAAATCCAACTCCATTCCTTTGCAACACTTTGGGGGACTAAAGCTCTCCCCTGCCCAACCCCAAAGGTTTGGAGCTTTCCAGAAAGTCTGTCCAACACTACCTCACTCTCCTGACAGCGATTCTGACTGGCTCAGATTTCCAGTGCTATAGCAGTATGAATGCCCAAGACTCCTGCCTTGACATGATGGATCTCATACCTCTAAGAAGTCCTGAAGTCATGGATCCGGCTCCCCAAGGGGCTCCCTGGGGATCTAGGGCAGGACAAGAGCAGAAACCAAGAATGAGGGTGCGCCAAAGCGCACAGAGCCCCTCGCCAAGTAGAACCTTCATTCTTGTCACACCTCTTCCCAAGGGCCTTTTTTTTTTTTTTTTGCTTATGAGGCAGGAGACTTGAACACTTTTTATGAAGCAAATTTCTGTTCCAAAGATGGGCTCTGGACAGACAGAAAACTACCACCTCTAGCTGAGCTTGTTTTCCATGTGGGGTGGGGAACACCTGAGAAGCCAGGTGTGCTAGATGCTGTTGGGGCAGATGCTCTGTCGTCATGGGAACATACACCCACCTCCCATTTATGTGAGTGTGGCAGCCAGGGGCTTAAAGCCGGGACCTTCTCTGAAGCATCCTCTTTGGCTTATGAGAGTGAGGCAGGAGAGACATGGGCCTCAGGCTGAGCTGCTGGAGTTCCTCCCCAGTGGACAGATGTCCCAAAATAGCAGGAGCGAGAGAGGAGCTTGAGTCCTGCCTAGATAAGCGATAAAAGACCATGTATTCCTCATTCCCAAGGTCTAGGAGATCTTCCCGACTACACATGTGCAGAAAGGCTCCTTGAAGGTGAAAAAGGGAGGGGGCACCACCCCATAGTAGGTGATGTCAACCCACCCATAGGCCTCTTCACTAGAATCCATCTTGGCTAAGAGAGTGGGTCAACCTGGGAGGATCCTGAGATGTACCATATATGGACTCAGAACCAGGCAAAGCAAGACGACTGGCCAAAGGAAACCCAGAAGAATTGCTCCATAAAAGTGACTCAAACTACCATGAGGGCATGACTCTTAGTTTCTGAGGCTGTCTGTGTGTGTCCACACATACTCGTGTGCACAGGCTGTCTCTGCTCTCTACCCATCCCTATTTGTGTCCCTTGCTCCCTTCCAGGTCTTTCCTGTAAAAGCACTCCCCAGGCAATCTCACACCGGGAAGACACCATGCTCACCCAATGTTTCCCCAGTGGCTCCTCTGTGCCTTCTGCAGTCAGCTCTAACTTCTCTAGGATTTGTCTCCAAGGGCTCCTGTTCACCAGCCTCCAACACAGCCTTGAGCGTGCTTCCCAAGCCCATCTATAAGACCTGCAACCAGAAAGAGTAATTCTGTATCAGGAACAAATTCAGGCCAAAGCCCTGACATGTCGTCACTTCTCAGGGTGAAATCCACACAGACCCCAAGAGCAGCATCACTGGTAGGAACTTCCTGGTTCTCTCTGTATGTTGTTGTCATTTAGCCACTAAGCCGTGACCGACTCTTTGTGACCCCATGGACCGTAGCCCACCATGTCCGTGGGATTTCCCAGACAGGAGTACAGGAGTGGGGTTCCATTTCTTTCTCTACCTCTCTATATATCTTTGATACAAATGTTGCATTGTGTTTGTCTGGTTTTGGTCAGTAGGCGATGCTGGGAGCATGGTTAGGAAATGGATAAGGGAGACTGGAAATGCAAGAGGATCGATTTCAGGGAGGAAATGGAACTTGATTTCTTAGACCTCTCTAAGTTGAAAGGCACTGCCTTTGTCCCCAGGTGGTGGGGGTTCTCTCCGTCCAGGAGCTAGGCAGTGAGGGGTCTGAATCCTGCCCCCCCCCACCCCCACCCACCAGAGAGATTGGTTCTGCAGTCCCACCCCATGGGCTGATCAGACAGATACAGCTTTTAGGGAGTTCATTCCCTTCTGTTCTTGCCATTCCCCAATCTTCCCCACCTCCCTGTCTTTGGCACTGTCTTGTTTAAACATTGTGGCAGGTTTCAGGGGAGAGGGGAGGGGTGGCAGGGTGGAGTAGGTGCAGGCACTGAAGCAGGCTCTGCATTTACACTTGGGTAGAATGATGGAGGAGAGCTCTCTGGGGGTGATTAGATGGTGAATCTGCGGACAGGACCTGTGAGGTGCAGCCCCCCCTCCCAGACTTGGGCAGTTTGCTATCCTGATGTAACAGGAAAGAGCACACCTGACTCCACGTTGGATCTGTTTCTTTTAAGCTTTGCTTCCTGTTGCTTTTGGTACTCTCATCACTAAAAGGATGCTGTCTGTGGCTGTAAGCACACATAATGGCCTGTCTCAGGGAACCCTGCCCCTCTGCCTGACGTTAAACTAAAGTACCTTTGTTCAGCTCCCAGGAAGACACCCTGACCCCTGAAGAAATTAATACATCCTCTCCTAGCTCCCCAGTGCTGGCCAAGCCAGGAGATATTCTGCAAGACCCATGGCCTTTTTACTTTACTTCCTCACCTCTTCCCTCTCTCTGTTCTATAAAAGAAACTGGCGTCCAGACCCCGTAAGATGGTACTCTAGAACTTCAGTCCTCCATTTTCTCGGGTGCCCGGCTTTCTGAATAAAGTCACTATCCCTTGCCTCAACACCAGGTCTCCTGGTTACTGGCCTGCTGTGCGGCGAGCAGACAGAGCTTGGCTGGGTAACACTAACCACAGTGCCTTAACGGCACTCACAGGACTGACTACTCAGCCCGCTAGGGTGAGCAGGAAGGGGAACTTCCATCAGGGAACTGCTGAGGCTTCACCTTCTGCTTTTCACCAGTTCCCTGATGTTCTCCCAACTGTTCCTTAAAGGAGCTGGCCTGATGTTCCCTGGCACTTGTGGGAGAGAAAGGCTTATCCCTGGTGTCCTCCTTGGTGTGAGCAGTCCCTGGAGGCTGACTTCAGAGTCAAGAGTGCGCCAAGAACATGAGACAGGAAGTCCCCGCTGAGCCATTAACACCTGAGAGCCCAGCAGCTCAAATGCTTCCAACAACCCCACCCGCCTCCACTGCAGGAGACTTCTCGGTGCCTTCCTGAGTCAGAGGGAGTGCCCGGCTGCCACTGCACAGCATAATCTCTCTTTGAATTCTCCATTTCATTTTGAATATTCATGTGATTTTTGCAATAGGCTCTATTTTGGAATGTGAATGACGCGAGATGCAGTATAGTCTAGTTGCTAAGAACATGTGGTGTCTAAACCTTTCTCTACATCAGTCTCCTAGTATGTGAAGTGGAATAAACATGATACTTGCCCCATAGGCTGGTGTGAAAGTGAAAGTCACTCAGTCTTTCACTCAGTCTTTGTGACCCCATGGACTATACAGTCCATGGAATTCTCTAGGCCAGAATACTGGAGTGGGTAGCCATTCCCTTCTCCAGGGGATCTTCCCAACCCAGGGATCAAACCCAGGTCTCCCACATTGCAGGCAGATTCTTTACCAGCTGAGCTACCAGGGAAGTCCAAGAATACTGTGGTGGATAGCCTATCCCTTCTCCAGCAGATCTTCCTGGCCCAGGTATTGAACCAGGAGCTCCTGCACTGCAGGTGGATTCTTTACCAGTTGAGCTACCAGGGGCTGGTGTAAGGACAGAGTTAATACCAGCGAAGTACCTGGAACAGAGTCTGGTATATTGTGTTTGGAATCATTATTCCTCGACCATACCTTGACAGGGGCATCTCAGGTGGCTCAGTGGTAAAGAATCCGCCTACTGTGCAGGAGACATGGGTTTGATCCTTGGTTCTAGAAGATTCCTTGGAGAAGAAAATGGCAACCCACTCCAGTATTCTTGCCTGAAGAATCTCCATGGACAGAGGAGTCTGGAGGGCTACAGTCTGTGGGGACACAGAAGAGTCGGACATGACCTAGGGATTAAACAACAACAATAACAACAAAGATGTCTTTAAGGAGAAAGACACATAAGTTAATGTTATGTATTGATCAGTTGCCAAGAACGTAGCACAGAGGCTCAGTCATGTCTGACTCTTGGTAGCCCCGTGGGCTTTAGCCCACCAGGCTCCTCCATGTATGGAATTTTCCAGGCAAAAATACTGGAGTGGGTTGCCATTTCCTTCTCCAGGGGATCTTCCTGACCCAGGGATTGAACCTAGGTCTTCCACATTGCAAGCAGATGCTTTACCATTTAAGCCACCAGGTAGTTTTTTAGCTCAGAGGCTGGCAGGAGTCTAATTCTGTGCTTTCCCCAGGAGCAATGGTTTGGTATTCCCAAATTCATTTTAAAGTTCCCTTAACTTTATGAGAACAAAACTTACATGGCAAATAAGGAGAATCCATTGTACATGGCTGCATTCTTTCTGGTTTAGCCCAGCCTCCCCTGCTCTTAGTGACCAGTCTCTCCTCTGCCCCCTTCACACTGAGTGTCCTCTTCTCACTTCCTGAAAGATTCCGGCCATTTTACCTGGAGTGGAGAGACATAGACAGTCTTGGAGGTCCTCCTCTGGGCCAGAGGAAGTCCCACAGTAAGGAAGGGAAGATGAGGGAGGTAGACAGACACACCAGCTCCTCTGGGTAAAGCTCTACCACCACCTGTAAGGTACCAACCACAGAACAGGCAGGAGACAACCCTGCAGGGCTGAACAGTGGAGCCTTTAAAGAGAGGAGATGCAGGCTCCAGCGCTGACTTTGCAACTTACTGCCTACAAGTTATGTGTCCCTTGGGTCTCAGCTTTCCCATCCATGAAATGGGAAGAATGCTACTAACACCATGGGGCCCTTGTGTAGATGAGCTGCACATGAAGAGCTTGGCGGGTGGCTGGCACACACTAGGCACCCCAGGAAATGGGGACTGTGAAGACTTATCCCCAGGCATAATGAGACTTTTCAAGCCATCCCGAGGCCCTTGGATTCATACCTCTGAAATTAGATCAAGGCTAGGGACAAGCAGTCCACCTACTTCTCACCACCTCCACGAGGAAGTTCACCCCACTCCGGGTCCCTGACACCGCCACCCCAAATTTCAGGCCTGGGTACCCCGGGGTATGGACAGCTGCGCAGCTCTGTTACCCAAGCTCGGCTCATAGCAAGAGGCACCAGGTCGCTGGTGGTCCCTGGTGGCCAAGGGTCCGAGTGGGGAGCGAGCTCACCGGAGTCCACTGGCCCAGGCCCGGCGTGTGCTCTGGGCGCCGCTGGAGGAGAAGGCGGGCAGGCCGGGAGGGGCCACTGGTCTCCGACTTTGGTCATGCCTGGCCGGGAGCGCCGGAGGCTCGCAGGCACGAGCCAGCGGTTCCGGGCAAACCTCCGTGTGGCCGCTGGGCCTGACTTAGCAGAGTCGGCGCCCGGGCCCGGGCGGGGCGGGCGGAGGCTCGCGGAGGTTGGGGCGGGGTGGGGGATGGCGACGGCATCCCCGCTCCCGGCTCCGGCTGAGGCGGGGCGTCCCGGCTGGCTCGCGGCCGCCTTTCCCCGCGCGCCCGCCGGCGGCGGCGGTGGCGGCGTCGGCAGTCCCGGCTCTTGGCACCGCGCCTGGCGGCCGGCCCAGGGCGAGGAGTGGCTTCCAGGAAGCGGGCGGAGGAGCGTTCCAGCCGAGTCTCGCCGTCGCCGCAGCCCCGCGCGCTCCGAGCCGCCCGGCTCCCGCCCCTCACGCGCTCCCCTCGAGCCCGCGGCGTCCCCAGCACCGGCGGAGGGCGCGGGGTCGACGCGAGGGCGGGAGGGCTCCCGGGCGCGCCGTGCACTTGCCGGGCGGTGCAGGTGGCGGCGCGCGCCCTCAGCTTCTGGGCCGGGGCCAGCGCCGCGCTCCGCACGCCCGGAGGGGGCGGGAGAGGCGGGGCGGCCCCCGTCCCAGCCCCATTTAACTTCTCGGCGGCGGCGGCGACTGCGGCGCCGCGGGCTGGAGGCCGGCGTCGGGGAAGGTCCAGGTCCCGGATCCCGCACGAGGTGTGGACCGGGCCGCTCCAGTCCGCCTCTCCCCAGCGCGCGCCGAGCCCGCGCCGCCCGGCTGCACGTCCCGGACGCTTCTGCGGCGCCAGGTGGGTGCTCGGAGCTTGGCGCCCGGGGGCGGGAAGGTTCTTCCACCGCGGGTGTGTGGGGGGAGCAAGACAGCGCAGTGGGGTTGAGGGGCTCCGAGCGGCAGGGCACGACTCGGTTCCCGGGAACTTCAGGACCCGGGCGCTCGGCGAGGCTCGGAGACCTCTGGCCGGGCAGGCTCCGTGGGTCCCAGTGGTTTGGGGAGAGACATTCGGGGACGCTTAAGCGTGAGGGAACTCCACCGACTTGGGGAATCTTCGGGTTGGGGGCTTTCTAGGTAGAAAACGGGCTGACAGCAGCTAGTGGGCTCGGGCGTCGGAAGGTCCGGCCGCTTGGCAAGCGGGTTGCGAGCCCCTAGAGCGCCAAGGGCTGCGCGACGCGCCTGCCGCGGCCAGCGGGCGTGCGGGACCGGGGCGCAGCGGGGGCGCGGGGACCGCCAGGCGGCGGGTACTCGGAGGAGGAGTGCGCGCTGGGGACTGCTGGTGCGAGCGAGCGAGGGGGGCGCACCGTCCCAGGGCCCCGCACTGGCCGCCTCCCTTCGGCCCAGAGTCGCCGCCTCAGGTCGGAAACAGCAGCACATTTGCGGATCGCATTAGGCCAGGCCCTTAATGCTTTCTCCAGATGGAGAGAAGCCACCGACCCGCCCCCGGACACCAGCTCGCCAAGGCGCCCGCGAGGCGAAGCGAGAGGCGAGGGTGACCTTGGCTTTTCCAGGCTCGACCCATCCTGATTTCCCTGCAAACCGTCAGGAGGACCCCGAGGAAAGCCCCCGTTTTCTCCAGCCTCCCGCTGGTTTGCCCTCACCCACTTTTAGGAGATTGTGCTCGTTGGCTTCTCCAAGGCTCTACCCTCTGAACCCCTCCTCACTCAGCTCTCTGGCTGCAGGGCGGGGGCTCCGAGGAGGATGAACGGTGTTCCGGTGGAGAAAGCCTCGCACTAGTAGAAGACCTGCATTCCAGTCCTAGAATGGTCACTGTCTTGCGGTGTGATCTTAGGCAGGTTCCTTCCCCTCTCTGGGTCGGCTTAGTAGGGCTTAGACTCATTTGTGCCTGAAGAAGCAGAAGCTGGCAGGTGCCCTAACCCTTGGCTCCACGCTGGCTTCCCTGAGTCCGATGCCAACAGCCACACCCTACTGCTGACAAATGGGCTGGGAAGTGGTTGGTGCAGAGATGGCTTGGCTTTTGGAGGGCTGGAGGTATGGGCTGCACCGTGCAGGCGGGTCTAGCTGCGCCCCTGACTTTGACATGGACTCCTCCTAAAGAGAGCCCCAGACAGCCTGTACTCTACAGTAGGTAGCTCCATCCAGGGCCAACACAAAGCTTTCCAAGACAGTATGTGGGGCTCAGGATTCCTCCCCCTGTTGATCTGGTAAGTCATGAGTGTTGCCACTGCTGGGTCTGGAGCTGAATGGAAACCAAATCTTTCCTTTTCTTTAGGCTACGAGTGAGACGCCCCGCAGGAGACCCGACTCCATGGCCTCCTGGAAGAGCCCCTGGTGGCTGCTAATGTGGCTGATCTTCATGCACTCTGCCCTCCTGCAGGTAATAAGATGGGGAAGAGGAATGGTAGGCATCCCTCAGTTTACTTAGGAGTATTATTCTAAATCACCTAAGATGTGGTATGACTGATGTTAATCGCATACCAAAGAGAATCTAATTTTGTTTCTTACCTCCAGCAAATGGTATTTTTCATTGCCTTAGCTATAAGAATAATCCAATCCCTTGGGTCCTCTCTGAGTCCTAATATCACAGTGGATACTATATACAAGCGGTGACTTGGGGCTGCAATGGATCCTGTCTGTTTCAGTCTGGAATGGCTGTCTGCGTGTGCCCTGGAGAGGCACATGGCTGCTGGAGGCCAGGGCATGATGAATGGGCAGAGCCCAGGTTCTTGCCTTAGCTCAGCCACTAAATAAGTATTCTGTGTGTATGTCCATCAACACATATTATACTGTTTTGTAGTTCTTTTTGCTCTTTCTTTCTCCCTGTCTTCCCTTTTTCTCCTTTCCCTCCCTCTTTCTTTCTTTATACACACAAATACTCTTTCTAATAACTGAGTCACCTAGAGTCACGGCACATAGCCTGAGCCCCCTGGCAGCTCTGGTGGCCATGCCCTTTCAGCTTCCACCGGCACAACACTGCTTTTCTAAAATGAAGTCTGCAGTGGGTGGGCAGCGGGTTCCAGCCCCGGGAGGCCTCTGCCTACTTGGGCTGTAGCATCTCTTGGAATGCTTCTTGAGAGGCAAGGTCGGGAGTTGAGATGCTGCCTCTTCCGGAAAACAGCAAAGTCTCCCCGTGCAAAGCTGGACCAGAGTGGTGGAGACCGGTTTTCCTCCTCGTCCTCCCAAATGTGCTTTAGAATGGCTGCCTTTCCCGCTCCACTGGCCATGAAGATGACAGTTCTAGCTGCGTTCAGCAGGGAAGTGTGAGGGTCCCGTGCTGCCGAGGTGGCTGGGGGAATTGCCGATGGGGGTGACTCCTGATCATGCAGGAGACTGGGGTCTGGGGAGGGTGAGCAGGGGGCTGCCATTGGGATCTACACCCAGAATCAACAGATTGAAAACCGGATTGGAATCCCTTAGGAAGGCCAGTCTCAGCTTCTTGGCGCAGTTCTCAGCCGCCACCTCCTCGAGCAACTTGGGGCCAGTGGTGATCATTTGGCTGGTGGGGCTGGGCTGCATGGTGAGCAGGTAGATCCTGTAGAGGCTGTCTGGGCTTTCGGATTGCTGGAGGGGAAGGGCAGGAGGTGCTTGTTGGAGAAGCCCAATGTCCAGTGAGGAGGCTAGCGGACCGGTGGCAGGGCAGCAGTGGCCCATGGCTCAGAGCCCCCGCATCCAGATGAGTATGCCAGCAACAGGCCAAGTGCAAAGCCGCCCACTGTACTACTGGTTGTGCCAACAACCAGCCCAGCTCCTGCGGGCTGCGGAAGATGGAGTGGAGGCCACCAATATGCCTGCCCTATGCAGCCTTTCTTTAGTCTCTTGTCTTTCCCACCAGTCTAGGGGGGACAGCTCTAGCACTGTATCATCATATACTTCCTGGGCAGATGCCAACAAAGGAAGGAAGTTTGCTTTGCCTGAGAGGCAATTGGGAATAGCTGAGACTGTGGCAGAGTTGATGGTACCTTCTCCATCTCTTAAGGGCAGCCTCTACTCAATTCCAGCCATCATTACCAAATGACAGTGCAAACTCAGGATTGCTGGATCATATTGTTGCTCAAGATAGCTAGTTATCCAGACCTCCTATGTGATCTCCAAGTTTTTAAGGGTTGAAAGCCAGACAAATATATTTGTAGACTGGATTCAGCCCAGCACTTTGTTGATCATTTAGGTGCTAACTTGTGTCCGACTCTTTGCGCCTCATGGGCTGTAGCCCGTCAGGCTCCCCTGTTCATGGGATTTCTCAGGCAAGAATACTGGAATCGGTTGTCATTCCTTTCTCCAGGAGATCGTCCCAGCCCAGGCATCGAACCTGGGTCTCCTGCGTTGCAGGCAGTCTGCTGCAATTGCATGTGGATTGCACGTGGATTCTTTACTGACTGAGCCACCAGGGAAGATGCAGAGCAAGATTTCCTGGCTGTCCAGTGGTTGGGACTTCGCCTTCCAGTGCAGGGGGTGTGGGTCTGATCTCTGGTAGGGGAGCTAGGATCCCACACGCCCTGTGAGACTGAAAGACCAAAACATAAAACAGAAGCAGTTTTGTAACAAATTCAGTGATGACTTTAAAAATGGTCTGCATCAATAAAACCTTTAAAAAATAATAAAGTGCAGAGCACATCTAAGTATTTTGTCCTGAGAGCTGCTGCGAACCCTTACCGCACCCTGTGTGAGTTAGAACATGCTGGTCCATTCGGTATCTTGTGTGAATTAGAACAAGGCAGCCCCTCCCTGATCATGTAACTTGTCATCACATGGCTTAGTGGCCTCTGTACTCTCAGGGTCTGGCGAAGGGCCTGATGCTTAATAAGGCTCTAACATCTCTTAGACGGGCTTGTGCACATAAATAAAGAGATACACCCTAAGAGAGATTAATCAGACCTCTCTGCTTCACATTTTACTCTCGGACTTAGTGTTTCTAAGGCCCCTTTCAGCTCCAGTGTCCCATGATTTCTGTGACTCATACAGAACTGGTTAGTGAGGTACAGCTTCTCCCCCAGTATTCACTTTATTGATGCTTCCCCATCCACATTTTAATAGATAGCTTTTATTAGAACAGATGTAAATCTTTTCAGGGTAATCTTAGGATTTCTGTAGTCAGTGAGGTATAGCGTTGCGGCATGGTGGGTGGAGACTTTCTTTTCCATCTCATCAGACCTGAAGCAGAGATTTGTTCCTGGTCAAATGGGGCTGAGGCTTCACAGCACGGGGTTTCATTTTGTTTTCTTCCACTCTATAAAATTAAAATGAGCTTTGAGGCAGTCTATTGACCTTTGGCCAAGGGTAGTGTCTTCCCAGCTTGAATCACTCACTGACCTCTTTTGAATTTTTCCGTATCTGTGTGGCTTGGCAGTGTTGTTTCCATGTACGGGGCAGTGTGTGCACAGGAGGTTGTAAATGGAGATCTCAGGCTAGTTGTCTTTATCATTTGCAGCATCAGCTGTTGGAATCCCAGCTGCACCACTTCAAGGCCTGATATACAAACATCTCTGCATCTCAGTGTCCACATTTGTAGAGAGGGGGTGCCTGCCTCACAGACTTTTCTGGCAGAGTTAATCCATTGTGAATGGGGAAAAAAAAAGCTGTCTAGTATGACTTCCCAGGTGGCTCAAAGGTAAAGAATCTGCCTGCCAGTTTAGGAGATGTGGGTCTGATCCCTGGGTCAGGAAGATCCCCTGGAGAAGGAGATGGCAACCCACTCCAGTATTCTTGCCTGGAGAATCCCATAGACAGAGGAGTCTGACAGGCTACAGTCCATGGAGTCACAAAGAGTGAGACACGACTGACTGAATGACAAAACAATAACATGTAGTAAAAGCCCTTGATATATTAACCTTTTAAAGCAAACGTTGTTGTCGTTCAGTTGCTGAGTCGTGTCTGATTCTGTGACCCCATGGAGTGCAGCATGCTAGGCTTCCCTGTCCTTCACTATCTCACAGTGTTTGCTCAAACTTGTGTCCATGGAGTCGGTGATGCCATCCAACCATCTCATCCTCTGTCGTCCCCTTCTCCTCCTGCCCTCAATCTTTCCCAGCATCAGGGTCTTTTCCAATGAGTCAGCTCTTTGCCTCAGGTGACCAAAGTATTGGATCTTCAGCTTCAGCATTAGTCCTTCCAGTGGATATTCAGGGTTGATTTCCTTTAGGATTGACTGATTTTGATGTCCTTCAAACAAACGAAGTGCCTGTAATTTCTACTGGGGAACTGTAGGGGGCACCTAAGAGGCATCAGCTGAGACTAGAGAATACTGCAGAGGCTGGAAGGTGGGACTTGATCTTCTCAGGGAAGGTTCTTGCAGCTGTGGGTGGTCCCATCACAGGGCCTGGGTGAATGTTATAGTGAGAGCTGTGGGTGGTCCCATCACAGGGCCTGGGTGAATGTTATAGTGAAGGCTCGATCAGTTTCTGCTCCTACCCGAGGGTTGGACACTTGGTTATCTCCTTAGTGTCAGCCTGGATTTGTTTCAAAGGTGCCCCTCCTCTGAGGATTTGGTTGTTTGGGGGGCCCTTGGAGTCTTCTTTTAAAAATAATAAAAAAATTTTTTTTTGCCACACCACATGGTATGTAGGATCTTAGTTCCTTGACCAGGGATTGAACCCACGCCCCCTGCATTGGAAGCACAGAGTCTTAATTAATCACTAGACAGCCAGGGAAGTTCCCTTGGGGTCGTCTTTAGTCTCTCTCAGACGGTAAAAGCATCTGCCTACAATGCGGGAGACCTGGGTTCGATCCCTGGGTTGGAAAGATCCCCTGGCGAAGGAAATGGCAACCTACTCCAGTGCTCTTGCCTGGAAAATCCCATGGATGGAGGAGCCTGGTAGGCTGCAGTCCATGGGGTCTCAGAGAGTCAGCAGACACGACTGAGCGACTTCACTTTCACTTTTCCTTATAAATGCTGCCACCACCATGCTGAAACTGAAGCTCCAGTACTTTGGCCACTTGATGTGAACAGCTGACTCACTGGAAAAGACCTCGATGCTGGGAAAGACTGAGGGCAGGAAGAGAAGGGTACGACAGAGGACGAGATGGTTGGATGGCATCACAGACTCAATAGACATGAATCTGAGCAAATTCCAGGAGATAGTGAAGGACAGGGAAGCCTGGCGTGCTGCAGCTTATGGGGTAGCAAAGAGTCAGACACGACTGAGCAACTGAACTGAACTGAATGAATCATTCTGGGGTTTTTTTGGCTGCATTGGGTCTTCTTTGCTGCACGTGGGCTTTGCTGCAGTTGGCTAATGGAGAGTTAACAGCGCTGTGAGGCTGAGATACAAGGAGGAAGGGATGTGCCAATTCACTTAATAAAAACTAGATTATCTTTATTGAATCAGCTAAAACTGAAGCCTTTATAATCACTGACCACAATAATCGTGATAGATTGCAGAG